ACAGCAGTCAGCCTTGTAAGCCTTATGCCAGTTAAAAGAGCCATTAAAAAATATCATCGAATCCCTTCTACAAAATGAAGTGTATCAGGTACAGTAGCTGAAAAGGATCCCCAAATAATGGCACTAATGCCGCAGTATTTCACATTTGGTTTCATGTTTCTGGAATATAGATCCTCATATGATTTTCGCCCGATAGAGCGATTGCCGCTAATTTTGGCACACTTAAAAGGGCGATTTGACTTTGTTTCCGAACAAAGTAATGCTTATCTGGTGATGATACAATTTTTTGTGTGCCACTTTTGATTTATTTACTTATTTTGTTTTTTTTAGTTGAAGTGCAATATTTTTCTGTGGTGGAGGCATTCATTGTGGCCACTTCTTACTACGATACCGTTTCCTCGGACAACCATATACAGCGGTTACCTATCTGATGTCAAACACCAGTTTTCGAAAATATTGACAAAATATTGGATGTCATGTAAGCACTGTTTCGATTTCCCAGGAACAAAACACGGCACAAAAAACCGCTTGGAACACAAAAAGTCACAGGGACCACTGAATCGGAAAAAAATCAATGCAGACAGCCAACGAAACAATAGATTTATTGAAAACAACTTTTGGTGAGCGCATTGTATAGCGTAGTGGAACTGTGACGTGGCATCAAAGATAGCGCGGTTTTACAAGTCCCTCGTCTAAGCAGATAAGCCCGAGTTGATTGACTCCGGCAAAAATGGTAGCAACTTAAGGAACATGACTGAAATTTATTCGATCCTGCCGCAGCAGTCACTTACCCGAAATCATTTTGAAAACGTAAATGGCAAGTAATTACAACACTGCCAAGTACTTGGTCATAACATTAAATTATGCATATACATACATATGTATCTGCGTTTTCTTTCTTTTTGTAAACTACATGTTCAAAAACACACCTTCCATAATAAAAGTTGCACAGAGTTTAACAAATTTATATAGCTTTAACTATATAATTAAAAAGTTTAGAATTTTATTTCCCCCCCTATGGCCACACAAAGCACACCAGTGCAATTAATCGAGTATATTTTAGTTAAGCTTTTGGTGCTTCTAGTGATGACTTCCCTAACAAGTTAGGTACACAAATGGATTACCGTTACTTGAACCATATTATATTTAGTAAATAAACTAAAATAACTACCGTTAGTACGTAAACCACCAGCAGTGGCATGCGCAACATGAACAGAAACTCATTGAATTCAGCTTCAGATTGCCAGCTTTATGTTCAAGTACAAGTATTTACAAGGATGTCGCCGCTGATTCAAATTAATTCGACAGACAAATATTGAGATAAAGGTCGCGAACGGGAGAAACTTATACCAATAGATACTGCCTGAAGTTCATACAATATGAATGCATGTATGTGTAGGCATATGTAGGTGTGTGCGAATGAAAGTTCCCGATTTGTGAGATAGCGGCAAACCTCTTGGTTGTTGATGTGTAATTTAGGCTATAACATTGTTTGTCTACTTATAATCACAATTGTTTTTGTTTGACTAAGTTCGTTTCTACTGGTGCGTCGACAACTCTGACACACACACATACTTGGTGTGGTGGTGTTTGATCTACGTTGTTACGGCTGTATCCACAAACCTGCTCGTCTTCACTGGAAAGCTTTGTGCTTATGTTTGATTGAATGTTTTTGTTGGTGCAGAAGTGTGCAAGTTTATTTAGCAATTCGAAAGTTTTAGCCAAAGATTTTCGTGATACATAAAAGTGTTATCACTTTGGCTTTGCATGAGCCGGTGCCCAAATAAAAGCAAGTACACTATAATACATATAAACGTATTGTGAGCATTTATAACTGTTCATGCATTTGAACTCCCTTTGACGACTATAAGTGTGTATGAAGATGTTTTTACTGTAGTTAAGCGGTTAATGAAATCCAAATTGCAAACCTCTCATCTACAAGTGATATTTAAAGGGAGTGTGTGTGGGTTTGTTAGTAAAAGAACTCACATGAGCGCATTTTGTAGGCACTCTCACTCACTACTCATCGTCACGTAACGGGTTCTTCAATAGGGACGCTACAAATGCAGACCGATAGGGACAGCAAACGACGCCATATTTTTTCCTGCTCTTTTGACATTTGTCTGCAGCAAGATTTGCCACTTCATCATGGAAGGATATACGATCCAAAATGAGTCAAAATTATTATAATTAACTACCGAATTTTAGAGTCGGTGGTCTCAACTTTAAGTGCGGGTTTTTCAGTTAGAGCGCTACAAAGTTTTTTTTTTTAAATTAAACAAAAGGGTTTGGGACATCAATGAAATTCGTTTTTCCTGTGAAAGTACAATCGCACTTACTCCATGAGTCACTATTGCATCCCTAAAAAAATTATGGTTTTGTGCAGTTTATGAGTCGGTGGCATTATTGGGCCGTACTTCTTCCGCAATGATCAAAACCGGCACGTTACTGTAAATGCCAACAAAGTTGAACTTCGCACGAATATCGATCATGAAACTGCAGCAGTATCGGCCAATTTATGCTTGAAAACCGTCTAGACTTCTGCAAGCGTACCCGAGTTTCATACATAATGGCATCGAATGTATTTTCACAGAAATTACTGATATCCCAAACTGTTTTTGTTTTATTAAACAAAAAAAAAAAAACTTTTGTAGCGTTCTTATTGAAAAACCATTTATAAGAAATAAGCAGTGGACACATTTCTCAACGTTGAGGGAGCAATCAACAATGTGTTTGAAATTGTGACCGGTTTGTATTTTCAGCATGTAACGTGTTCGAAAAAAAAAAAACATTTATCAAAAGGGGGAAAAACGAATACTTCTTAAAAAAGGTGGGAAAATTAGCTAGCAAAGCTGTGTGAGGTGAATACGGTGATTGCGGTGTTTGCGGCACGATTTTGGTTAACATTTTGGGGAAAAACTCACGAAGAGTTGTCGGCCAATAATTCCAGTCCCTTTTTATGAATAGCCTCCAGCAAACGACGCATAACACTCAAATAGTATTCCCAGTTAACAGTTTGGCCGGACGGAAAGAATTCGGAGTGCACCACTCCTCGATAATAGAAGAAAACTGTCAAAATAATTTTGATTTTTGACCTGCTTTGGCCTGGGTTTTTCGGTTTCGGCTCGCCTTTGCCAGAATATTCGGTATATTAATCGTCTGCTAGCGGGTCGTAAGAATATATCCAAGACTCATCGACAGTAATACTACGTTTCATAACATCTTGGTAGTCGGAAAGTAATATTTTAGAAAGTACTTTTTCGACCACCCAATATACAACTGTGATCAAATGGAAAGGTGAATTTTGTCCATTTCATCCTCTTTAATGTAATCTCTTCGAGCTGCAATACACTTATGCTAGTGAATTTCCCAGTCATCATAGCACTTGGAAAAATCCTCCGTCGTGATGGCCATCAGCCTTCTTCGATTCAGCTTTTATATCCTCAATTGAGTCAAAACGGTGTCCTTGGAGTGGTCATGTGAATTTGTTGAATAGCCAGAAGTTACACGAAGGTAAATCAGGCGAATGCAGTGGTTGCGACACGAAATTAGTTGAAAATGTGGCGAAATGATCACGAATAACCAACGCAGCATGAGATGGTGAATTATTTTAGAGTCTCACAAACCGACGCGTATCTCAAATACTAATGCAAATTTTGATAGGATTGATTATTTAGCATAGTCACTAACTGTACTACCAACTTATAGAAAAACAAAAACGCGAAGTATAAATTAAAAATTCACCTTTAAGTTTGATCACGTAGTAAATAAATTACGATTTAGCGATTTCCATCTGTCCGAACCTTCGTCTGACTGTATATAGGCAATCTAGTCCTTCAGTTTTTGAGGTATCGCTTAGAAAATTTACATACATTCTTTTCCCCCAATTAAGCTACTCTTTTGTCGTAACTTGAACGGAACTAAACTAAACTGGTTATGACCTTGGATGGCATCTTTGGTATTTGTGAAGCACCTTCGGTGCAAACGAAGTTAACGTAACAAGAAATTGTTATAATTAAAGTTTGCAAAGATATTGTCTTTTAGATATTCAGTTTTTGTAATCAAACCATGACTATTTAAGGCCCCAGAGACTGATTGTGTGGGCCCCGTTTTTTAACCGAAGAAATCGGTCAATATGTGAGGACTAGAAATGAAGCTTGGAGAAAACAATTTTTCTGACCAATGTGCCTTTATCCCGACAGAAGGTAAAATCGGGTCAATACTTCTTTTAGCACTATATATCTAATATAAAGAGTTTCGGACTTCCAGTTGACTATATAACGAATATATCGGTCGGTATGTAATTTATCTTAATGAAATTCAAAACGAAACTACTTATGTGAAACACGTTCAATTTATATCTACATTTAATAGCATATGTTGGTCAGTGTGTTTTGTTATCCATAAAATTACAAAGGAATATGCTCTCAAGTATTGTCAAAAGTTAATGCGAGCAGTTGAGGTCTTCTCCCCAATACATTCGCTTCAATGATTACTTGCTCTGCATCTTACTTTATACTCCCGCATAACCGATCGTTTATTTTCGTTTATATCGGTCAATATGGGTTTTAGTTTAAGGATGTGTGATAATTATTTATTTAAATTAGTTTTCCCCGAAAATAAAATGTTAATTATAAGGTCGTAAAGAAAGATCGATTGCTGCAATTCAATACGATGACTTGACTGAGCTTTCTTGAATATAATTCTTTCCAAATCGTGATACCGACTACTTTTATGTGAAATCTCATATACTATTCTAATTGCAATTAAATTTTCTACACAACACTGACCTCCGAATTTTACAAATTGAAATAGAAAACATTTTTCAAGTAGTTTTAAATTCTATATTTTTGTTTCACTTTACAGTGAATAAATCAGAGGTCTTGGTCTGGAAAAGGTATTTACGACAAATCTTCATTTACAAACGAACTTAGTTATTGTTAAAATCAAATTTCGAGTATATATTTGGGGTCCAGTTATTTACATGTGAGTGTACTTACCGTAATAGCGATGTCGTGCAGTTTGTCGCAAGTGTCTAGTTTTCGACGAAATCGTAAGACAGTATGTGTTGCATTTTCATACCCCAACATAAGAATATAGTCCTGAGATGGATCCACAATTGGTTCCGTGTTTACATTTCTTGTTATGTGACGATCCTAAAAGAAAGAAGTAAGTTCTTTAAATAAATATGTGAAATAATAAATTCATAAAGTAATTTCAGTTATTTAATATGATAACCACTTTTCTATTGTCTCAAAACCATAAACCAGTCAAATATTTAGTAATTTGAGAAAACAAAAACCAAACAAGTTTGATTGGCTATGCGAATAAGTCCCTCAGCTTTTGAGATATCGATCTGAAATTTCGTACACGACATTTTTTTTCAATGAAGCTGCTAATTTTTTGGAATCAATTCGAATCCACTTCTACATTTAGTGCCGCAAGACTGAATGATCAAAGTCCAGTTTCAGAATGACAAATTCAAAATTCTCAAACTTTGCCACGGGTTACAAATATTATTTGAAGCAACGGTACAATCTGCAAACAATTTGTTAATATTGGATATATACTATATACAGGTCTATCAAAATCAAGTCTTTATATGGACAACTTTTTTTTGTTGGTGAAGAGTATTAAACAGCGTTTTCCAATAAGAATCAAAAAAACAATAATTGTTAAGGAAGTTAAAATATTTCCATTAGATCAAAAACCACACCAAACTGTCAATTTAGATAAATACAGTGATTGTTCATGAATTATTTGTGGGTTTTTTCGCACAAGAATCGATAGTTTGGTTTATTTATCGCACCTGAAAGTGAGCCTCATCGGAGAAGTTAGTTTTCTTATAAAAATCGTTATCGTTTTCAAGTTGTTCCAAGACAAAATCCAAAGTAACGACGTTTATGGTGGTCGAATGACTTAAGTCAATTCGGATATACGGATGCAAGCCAAAATACGCCAGATTTGGTTTGAGACAGTCCCAATTCAGAAGAACATTTTGGAACTTTCAAATTGCAGTCTTCAGCATGACTCGTCTTAAAGGCAGCAATACTTTCATTACAACAGTTCTTAGTCTTAATCGCACTTGAACATTATGTAAAGAAAATCTACGCTCGAAATTTTCAATAATACCCAGGAGAATGATTATTTTGATAATGAAATTAAAAAAATTGTAAACGTCTTTCTTGCGTATAACTTTAATATTTTGAGTTGGTGTGGAAAATTTTACGAGAGGATTGTAATTCATTATATTATGAATATCAGGCTTAGACCAAGGTCTAGACCATGGTCTTCACTCACTCACATTTACTTGTATACTTGATTGCATTAAAATATCGAACATGGTGGCAGGGAAAGGTCTGAGATTGAGGATTGCTAACCAACAAATTTCCGAGCAAATAACTCACGCATCACCCACATATTCGCCAGAAGGTTTGTTAAAATAACGAAAATCAATATACAAGTATGGCATGCAATAGATGATGTTGGGTAAACGTTAGTGTAACCAATATTATACTTTCAGTTAGTTTTACTAAGATGTCTTATACATATATTACGGAAAAAAGCATAGTGAAAGTTTGAAATTCTTATATTAGGGATATGAAAGATAGGGGCTTGGTGGGATACCTTATATTATTAATAAACTTTCGCTGAGTTTAGTTAAAGTACCTAACACACACTCACCAATAAATAAAGAGTAAGTCAACCGGATGTTTGAAAAACCAGATATTAATTACCTGGGGGCCAAGGCAAGTTTTCACCGATTTTATGCATTTTATGCACAAAGATGTATCGTTATTAGAAAAACACGCTCTCTTAATGTAATTAAAATAACTAATATATTGCATAAGGATATAGCCCTCTTATATTGTAAACTTCATGTTGGGAATACAGTGCAAATCGGACTGCAACCACGCCTACTTCCCAAATAAAACAATCTTAAATTTCATTTGATTCTTTCATCTTCCGGTATACAAAAAAGTAGAAATTAATATAATGGAATAAAATTTTGCACGATTAATCCCTTTAGGGTATTCCACCTTATGACCTCAAATTGCTCAAATTCATTAAATTGTTAAGCCCCTAGGTATTGAATATTTGGAAACCAGTAAGTAAAGTCGACTTTTACCGCAAAAAGCGGTCAATGAGTGAGATATAAAATTGAAATTCAGGGATAATTTTTCCCTGACAATGGTAGACAATTTCGTCTATCTTGAAACCAGCATTAACACCAACAACAATGACAGCCTGGAAATCCAAGGCAGGATAACTCTTGCCAACAGGCGCTACTTCGGATTGAGTAGGAAATTGAGAAGTAAATTCCTCTACCGACGAATAAAGATCAAACTCTACAACTGTTCAAATGTATTTAATTGCTTGGATTATATTCTCTTGTTGACGGCCTTAAGGTATTTGCTTGGTTTTTGACCCGATTCAACACTTTTTTCATATACAAGCATACTATTAGCAGGAAAGTACTATTTCCGAAATACAATTTTATAGTATATCTCACAGATTAATCGATATTTTCGGTAAAAGTCAACCATAGGATATGGGGTCCACATATTCGCTATGTGAATGGTTGAAAAGATATGGTCCGATTTTGACAGCTTCTAGACATGTAGATGGCATACCTTATCTGTGTTAAGTCTTATTCCGATATATTCATTGGATATTGATTTATATTCTGGAAAGTAAAGATCGGATAGAATTTAAAGTTATGTTATATGGGAAGTAGGTGTGGTTACAATCCGCCCTTTTTTGCACATAAAAGTGTGAAAATAATTTTAACTACCAGATTTGGTTGAAATTGGTTTAGTAGTTCCTGAGTAATATGATTTCACTTAAACGGTATTTTGATACTCAGTTGTATGAAGTTCTTCCTTAATATTCCGGTTGCAAAATTTAATGTCTCTGACACATTTACTTTTTGATTTACATCACTTTTAGAAGTTTTCAACATAATGGTTATATGGGGAGGGAACATGGTTATCATTTGATATTGTCCGTTTTCACAGGGTTTATATAGCTTTAAACTTAGGGCATCTGTTTAGACAATTTTACAGTTAGTTACAACCCTTTGCTGGTTTTCGAATACCCACAATTTGTGGGAGTTGCAATGGTCCATTTCTTTTTGCAACATCAGGCACGGTCAGGTCATCTCGTCAATTCAGTTTCCTATACTCGCATATAAATGTCTGTATCTAACTATATTGATTAGTTTTAATTATTGCAAACAGATCTTCCGTTTATACTTAAATAAAAACAAGAAAAAATGTTAACTACTGTTGCACCGAAGCTAAATACCCTTCACAGGTGCATTACTGCTAGTAACATTTGTGTGGAGGCTATATGCTATAATAATCCGATCCGAACAATTTTTTCGGAGATTATATTATTACCTTAAGCAGTAATTCATGTCAAATTACGTGACGATGCGACGTCAAATGCGAAACTTTTCCATACAAGCCCTTGATTCCGATCGTTCGGCTTGTATGGCAGCTATATGATATAGTTAACCGATCTGAATAATTTCCTCGGAGATTACATTGTTGTCTTAGAAAATAATCTATACCATATTTCGTGAATGTATCTTGTCAAATGTAGAAGTTTTCCATACAAGAACTTGATTCCGATCGTTCGGCTTGTATGGCAGCTATATGATATAGTGTTCCGATATCGGCAGTTCCGACAAATGAGTAGCTTCTTGAAGAGAAAATGACGTTTGCAAAATTTCAAAACGATATCTTAAGATCTGAGGGACTAGTTCGTATATATACAGGCAGACAGACAGACAGACGGTCATGGCTAAATCGACTCAGGTCGACATACTGATCTAAATAATTATAAATATATATATACTTTATAGGGTCTCCGGCTCTTCCTTATGGGTGTTACAAACTTCGTGACAAACTTAATATACCCTGTTCAGGGTATAAAGAGAGCATTGAATTTTACGTAAGGACAATTATCACTGAGAATTGTGTCACATATGGACATTCTATGTGAATACCGAATGGCTGAGCAGCGAAAAGTGCACTCAGATTAAACAATTTGTTGTTTTTTCTTCAAACAATTTCGTCAATTCTGTGTGTTTTTACAAAAGCCGAGCTGGATGAAGGGGAGTGGAAAGCAGAAAATGAGAGCAGTTCAGAAGGTCACTCAGGTTACAAGTTATTCGCTTCGGTTTTTTATACATCATTTTAATACACGCCCTGTTTAAATATTTTACTTTCGTTGCTTTTCTCGGCATCACTTTCTGGTTATATCAATTTTCCACCGATTTTCATGTCGCAAGAACAAAGACATCACAGGAAACGGAAATTAAAAGTCCTTTGCGACATCTCTCCTTTTGCACCGCCGCTATGAAGACAGAGGAGCACTTCGCTGGTAGTGCTGCATATTGTCAGATGAATGATAATTATACAAAATATTCACGAGCTGTGCAATACACAAGTAGCGAAGAAGATACATGTGGTAACTTATACATACATATGTACCAAATAAGTATCCATACAGTTTATGTAAACTTGTCGTATTTATGCAGTTAAAAAGTTTACTCTAGATGCTCTGTATGTTGCCATAAATTTAAAATATCTCGTCTACTTTTGCATAAATTTGACCCCGCACCCACAACTTGTCTAGTTATACTTATGTATAATATATGTATGTATTCAGATGCCAATACATATATTTGTATATACATATACAAATGTGTGAATATATTTAAATGTGCATACCTCGACCTTTCTACAGTCAATTGAAAGGATTTTTGTACATACACCCGTCGTCTACTCGTAAATATATACCTGAAATGCTAATATAGGCACACATATGTATGTACGAGAAATATTCAGCCGTTCACATTTATTCTTCATGTTGTAACAATGTAGTGCTGGGGGCGAAATTGAACTTGGCCCCGTAGAGTTTCATCTTACTCTGGCTGCTACTCTGAACCGTTAGAATAGCAAAACTTTAACGTTTCTTTTGTGATTTTTGTGATTGCTTCTATCAACCATATTTGGATGATTGTTGTTGTAGTCATTATCATTGTTGTTAAGTTTTTAATTGCTGGGTCAAAGTCTTATCATACTTCCATTTGCTTCATGCTGAAGCCATCCTCTCAAATCGCGCACATTGCCTTCATATCAGCCAC